CTATGCCACTCATGGTGTGACAGGTTTCTGTGCTGCGCAGGGCATTTCTCTGCATCTGGAAGTAAAGGGAAAGAGCAATTGTTGTCGCAGAGAGCAGCAACAGCAGTAGGGAGCAGCAGAAGGAAGTAGTGATCTTACCTCTTCCACAAGACAACTAGCGACTAATTAGCAAGCGGGCGACTGGCAGTTACATTCCACTTGCAGTCTGAAAGTTTCGCGCGCCAGATGCCTGTTAAACATGTTTCTTATTCGCTTGCCTGACGCGCTCGCGCTTTCCACCGCCCGCGCGCTGACCGGCACTCTCTCTCAGACACACATGGTATTTCGGCCGGTTGCCAAGAACTCCGGAAAGCAGCTTCTGCCGAAGGAGGCTCGCCTCTTGCGGTTACCTTCTGCGAACTGCTGAGTCGCGGCTTCTGCCTTTCCTGCCCTTAATGCAAGCGGAAAGCTTTTGCACAGAGTTTGGCGAGGAGAACGTGTGACAGGACAGCACATGTTTGTGCAGTATACCCCTGCCACTGATGCAAGCACAAATTTGCAACACCCTATGCCACCCATAGTGTGACTGGTTTCTGTGCTGCGCAGGACATTTCTCTGCATCTGGGAGTAAAAGGGAAAGTGCAACTATTGTCGCAGAGAGCAGCAACAGCAGTAGGGAGCAGCAGAAGGATGTAGTGATCTTACTTCTTCCACACGACAACTAGCTACTAATCAGCAAGCGTGCGAGTGGCAGACGTTTTCTACTTGCAGTCTGAAAGTCTCGCGCACCAGATGCCTTTTAAACACCTTCCTTATTCGCCTGCCGGCATAGCTCGCGCTTTCCACCGCCCGCGCGCTGACCGGCACTCTCTCTCAGACACACATGGTACTTTGGCCGGTTGCCAAGAGTCCTGAAAAGCGGCTTCTGCCGAAGGATGCTCGCCTCTTGCGGTTACCTTCTGCGAACTGCTGAGTCGCGGCTTCTGCCTTTCTTGCTCTTAATGCAAGCGGAAAGCTTTTGTACAGCTTCTGGCAAAGAGAAGGTGTGACAGGACAGCACATGTTTGTGCAGCTTACCCCTGCCACAGACGCAACACGGATTTGCAGCACCCTATGCCACCCATAGTGTGACTGGTTTCTGTGCTGCGCAGGGCATTTCTCTGCATCTGGGAGTAAAAAGGAAAATGCAATTGTTGTCGCAGAGAGCAGCAACAGCAGTAGGGAGCAGCAGAAGGAAGCCGAGGCAGTACTTCTTCCACACGACAACGTAGCGACTACTCAGCAAGCGTGCGAGTGGCAGCTACGATCCACTTGCAGTCTAAAAGCTTCGCGCGCCAGATGCCGGTTAAACATGTTTTTTATTCGCCTGCCCGCCGCGCTCGCTCTTTCCACAGCCCGCGCGCTGACCGGCACTCTCCCTCAGACACACATGGTACGTTGGCCGGTTGCCAAGAGCTCCGGAAAGCAGCTTCTACCGAAGGAGGCTCGCCTCTTGCGGATACTTTCTCTTAACTGCGGAGTCCCGGCTTCTGCCTTTCTTGCTCTTAATGCAAGCGGAAAGCTTTTGCACAGAGTTTGGCGAAGAGAACGTGTGACAGGACAGCACATGTTTGTGCAGTATACCCCTGCCACTGATGTAAGCACGAATTTGCAGCACCTTATGCCACCCATGGTGTGACTGGTTTCTGTGCTGCGCAGGACATTTCTCTGCATCTGGGAGTAAAAGGGAAAGTGCAACTATTGTCGCAGAGAGCAGCAACAGCAGTAGGGAGCAGCAGAAGGAAGTAATGATCTTACTTCTTCCACAAGACAACTAGCGACAAATTAGCAAGCGGGCGAGTGGCAGCTGCTTTCCACTTGCAGTCTGAAAGTCTCGCGCACCAGATGCCTTTTAAACACCTTCCTTATTCGCCTGCCCGCAGCGCTCGCGCTTTCCACAGCCCGCGCGCTGACCGGCACTCTCTCTCAGACACACATGGTATTTTGGCCGGTTGCCAAGAACTCCAGAAAGCAGCTTCTGCCGAAGGAGGCTCGCCTCTTGCGGTTACCTTCTGCGATCTGCAAAGTCCCGGCTTCTGCCTGTCTTGCTCTTAATGCAAGGGGAAAGCTTCTGCAATATTTCTAGCGAGGAGAACGTGTGACAGGACAGCACATATTTGTGCAGCTTATCCCTGCCACTTACACAAGCGCGGATTTGCAAAACCCTATGCCACCCATGGTGTGACAGGTTTCTGTGCTGAGCAGGGCATTTCTCTGCATCTGTAAGTAAAACGGAAAGTGAATTTTTGTCGCAGAGAGCAGCAACAGCAGTAGGGAGCAGCAGAAGGAAGTAGTGATCTTACCTCTTCCACAAGACAACTAGCGACTAATTAGCAAACGGGCGACTGGCAGTTACATTCCACTTGCAGTCTGAAAGTTTCGCGCGCCAGATGCCTGTTAAACATGTTTCTTATTCGCTTGCCTGCACCACTCGCGCTTTCCACCGCCCGCGCGCTGACCGGCACCGTCCCACAGACACACATGATACTTTGGCCGGTTGCCAAGAGTCCTGAAAAGCGGCTTCTGCCGAAGGATGCTCGCCTCTTGAGCTCACCTTCTCCAAACTGCGGAAACCCGGATTCTGCCTTTCTTGCTCTTAATGCAAGCGGAAAGCTTTTGCACTGTGTCTAGCGAGGAGAACGAGTGACAGGACAGCACATGTTTGTGCAGCTTACCCCTGCCACTGACGCAACACGGATTTGCAGCACCCTATGCCACTCATGGTGTGACAGCTTTCTGTGCTGCGCAGGGCATTTCTCTGCATCTGGGAGTAAAAGGGAAAGCGCAATTGTTCACGTAGAGAGCAGAAACAGCAGTAGGGAGCAGCAGAAGGAAGTCGAGGCAGTACTTCTTCCACACGACAACTTAGCGACTACTCAGTAAGTGTGCGAGTGGCAACTACGTTCCACTTGCAGTCTGAAAGTTTCGTGTGCCGGATGCCTGTTAATCACCTTCCTAATTCGTCTGACGGCAGAGCTCGCGCTTTCCACCGCCTGCGCGCTGACCGGCACTCTCCCTCAGACACACATGGTACGTTGGCCGGTTGCCAAGAACTCCGGAAAGCAGCTTCTGCCGAAGGAGACTCGCCTCTTGCGGTTACTTTCTCCGAACTGCGGAGTCCCGGCTTCTGCCTTTCTTGCTCTCAATGCAAGCGGAAAGCTTTTGCACAGAGTTTGGCGAGGAGAACGTGTGACAGGACAGCACATGTTTGTGCAGTATACCCCTGCCACTGATGCAAGCACGAATTTGCAGCACCCTATGCCACCCATAGTGTGACTGGTTTCTGTGCTGCGCAGGAGATTTCTCTGCATCTGGGAGTAAAACTGAAAATGCAACTATTGTCGCAGAGAGCAGCAACAGCAGTAGAGAGCAGCAGAAGGAAGTAGTGATCTTACTTCTTCCACACGACAACTAGCTACTAATCAGCAAGCGTGCAAGTGGCAGCTGCTTTCCACTTGCAGTCTGAAAGTCTCGCGCACCAGATGCGTTTTAAACACCTTCCTTATTCGCCTGCCCGCCGCGCTCGCGCTTTGCAACGCCCGCGCGCTGACCGGCACTCTCTCTCAGACACACATGGTACTTTGGCCTGTTGCCAAGAGTCCTGAAAAGCGTCTTCTGCCGAAGGATGCTCGCCTCTTGCGCTCACCTTCTCCGAAATGTGGAGTCGAGGCTTCTGCCTTTCTTGCTGTTAATGCAAGCGGAAATTTTTTGCACAGATTCAGGCAAAGAGAACGTGTGATAGGACACCACATGTTTGTGCAGCTTACCCCTGCCACTGATGTAAGCACGAATTTGCAGCACCCTATGCCACCTATAGTGTGACAGGTTTCTGTGCTGCGCAGGGCATTTCTCTGCATCTGGGAGTAAAAGGGAAAGCGCAATTGTTGTCGCAGAGAGCAGCAACAGCAGTAGGGAGCAGCAGAAGGAAGTCGAGGCCGTACTTCTTCCACACGACAATTTAGCGACTACTCAGCAAGTCTGCGATTGGCAGCTACGATCCACTTGCAGTTTGAAAGTCTCGCGCGCCAGATGCCTGTTAAATATGTTTCTTATTCGCCTGCCCGCCGCGCTCGCGCTTTCCATAGCCCGCGCCCTAACCGGCACTCTCCTCAGACACACACGGTATTTTGGCCGGTTGCCAAGAGCTTGGCCTGGCCTGGGCTTGCTGTGGGCCACACAAGCCCTGTTCCAGTGCCTGGGCCACAGCCCCCAGCCAGGCTCCCTTCTGGCAGCAGAGTCCCACTGGGCCAGTGTCCCAGCCCGGCAGCACATGGAGCACCCTTCCGTGCCTGACTGCACTGACCGTGCTACTTGTTTTTCTTCCAGGACTTAGGGACATCACAGACACAGATACCACCCTGCTGTACATACGTTTTACAGTTGTTGTGTTCAGGATAGAGGTTTTAGAGCTTGTTTAAGTTGTCTGTAAATACGTT